TCTGAGCTCAACTTCTCATGCTATAGGTTAAGATCTCTTCCCATTGTGCCATATTCCTTTTACTTTTTGAGGTTCAAGGCCTCCCCCACCTTTTCCCCAGACCTAAATTCACATTATACACCTTTGGAGAATGCAGACTCCTTGAGGGCAGGGGTTATTGCATATTTGTATATTTCTTGATTCTTCCTTGGCTTCTGAAAATAAATCAGTTGGGGTCCAGATGGACTGCAAAGAATTTCCATTTCCTTTCTTTAGTTTTTGTTTTCAAGGAAATTTAATTAAGGTATTGAACTTTGAGTGTATTTGTGAGAGAATTAACTTCAAATGTGTGCCTGCAGAGATGCAGAAGGGTGAGCAAGTTCCTGGGGAAGATTTACTATTGGCTAATATTACAGAGACAACATTATGGGTATGTTTATATATCAAGTGTACATGTTTATAAGTTCCATATATGAGTTTAGATGGCCTCTGATATCTCTCCAGGGTCTCAAATTGTGTGATTTCAAAGAAATATGATTTCCTGGCAAGGAGGGGAAATGTCTTTAAAAACAGTACAAATTCATCATGAGTGAGAAGGAAACATTCACAAAAAAAAATGGGGATCTTTTTACCAAATCCCCATAGTTACTCCACCTTTCAAAAAAGACTTCCTTTGTAAGGCAACATGGAAAGGTAGAATTGGGAAGGTCTGGGCTCTTTGACTGCTTCTGAGATTGACTAGCATTGTGACCCCAGACAAGTGAGTTAATCTCTCTGAGCATCAGTTAACATATCTGTAAATTGGGCATAATGATACCAGTAGTATCTACCTCATAGGGTTCTTGTAAGACTCACATGAGGCCCTGTATGATAGCTTCAAATGACTATATGAGTGCCAGATATGATCCAGCAACAAGAACTTATTAAGAATTTACTAGGTGCCAGATACTGTGCTAGGCACCCAGGGGTATAAGAAAAAAATGGAAGTAATGCCTGCACTCAAGGGTCATACAGTATGGAAGGGGCATTATAATCTCTCTCCTTTCCCTCCCCTCTGCTCTCCTCCCCTCCCCTCCCTTTGCCTCTTCTGGCTTTAGTTTCTTTATCTGTATAAAAGGGAGTGGAGTTGAACAGAATGGCCTCTGGCTTCCAATCTAGATCTGTCTATAGCCACTATGATTATCTTTAGCTCTGCATATATGCTTTTGCCAAAGGGGCTATGTATTCATGAGATAAGAAACAATTATGGAGTGGAAGACATAAGAAAGATATTTTTCAACACTTGGCCTAAAAGTCCAGAGCTGGGTTCTAATTCTAGTGGTGCCATCAACCAGCTGATTGACCTTGGACTAGTCACTGCCCTTGATTTTATAATTGGGACCCTGAGCTCTCCACCCATTACAGTAAATTATTGTTTGCACTTTAAACAGCTGACCTCGTATGTGTTGTGCTGGGAAGTCACTAAATTGCTACAGAGGAAAGATGGTGACCAAGGGAAGTGGAAGGGAGAAGGTGGAGGTCACAATGGCCAAGGTCTTGGGAAGGGAAGTCCCTACCAGATTGGCATTATGGTATAGAAAGGGTACTGGGTAAGAAGTTTGTAGTTTGAATATACCATTAATTAACTGGGTGACCATGGGTAGGTCACTATACATCTCAGAACATCAATTTCTGTAATTAACAACAACAACTTTTATATAGCATTTACTATATGCCAGGCACTGTGATAAACCCTTTACAATTATTATATTGTTATCTCCACATAAGTCTGAGAGACAGTTGTTATTATTATCCTCTTTTGACACATAAAGAAAATGAGGCTTGAAGAAATTTAATGACTTGTCCTAGGTCACCCAGCTAGTAATCATCTGAGATGGGATTTGAACTCAGGTCTTTCCAACACCAACTCCAGCATTCTATTCATTATGCCTTCTACAAAAGAGGAAGAGGGAATGGGTCTGGGTGGCAAGATAGGAGATTCTAGGTCACTTCGAATTCTTCAAATCTATGGCCCTACTCAAGAGGATAAAACCATAAAATGTGAGGAGCTGTTCTAAGTGTTGATGCCCTCAAGCAGCTCCCATTCTCTGGGAGAGACAACATGTACTCATATAAAATATATATATAAAATACAGCTAAACTTGGAGTCAGGAGTCTTTTCTCCGAATTTCAATTCAGATACTTAAATAGCTATGTGACTGGGTGAATTGTTTTTCTGAACCTCAAGGTTCTCTGTAAAATGGGAATAATAATAAAACTATTACTTACCTCATATGGTTGTTGGAGGAAAAGTACATTTTAAGTCTGGTATGAATGTTAGCTATCATCAATATGAGGTGAGGCCTGGGGTGTACCAGCCAGCCATAGTGGGGGATCAAAGAGGATGGGGGAATTTGAGGATTTTGCCCTTGCTTTTTTCCTTCCCCAACTCCTATCCATAATAATCAGCAGATTCCTACCCCCTCCCAAAGAAGTGAGAGGTGAATGGGGGTAGGAGGTGGCAAGCAATGGTTCCTTCTGGTTTGGGCCAGGGAGGGAAATGCCAAGTGTCATCTGGTAGATATGGGGAGTTCCTGAGAGTATCAGGAGTTAAGTTTTTTTGTATGCAAAGGGGATGTTTATCCTGGAGGAGAAAAAAAAGCTGAAGGGGTTGAGGAGGTCAAGCCTGATTATTTTCTTCAAGTATTTGCCTGGCTATCCTTAGAAGAAGGGACTTGAACTGCTAGGACTCAGAGGGCAGAACTAGGAATCAATGGGTGCATGTTATAAAGGGAGAGGTTTGTCTAGATGTAACTAAGGATCTAACAATTAGAATACTCAAAGGCTGCTTTGGGAAGTAGTTGAATCCTACAAGCTCAATATCCCCAGCAGAGTTGCAGAGAGGATTCTTGTTCCAATGGTCTCCAAGGTCCTTACCAAAGATGGGAGTCTATGTCCAATCAATCAATGTTTATTGAACACCTAGAGTGTACCAGGTGTGGTTCTAGACTGGGTAGGCAAATAAATACAAAGAATTGAATAATCTCTATTTTCAAGGAGTCATATATTAATATAATTCTTTGAAGTCATGAGTATATAAGCTAGCTACTTCCTGTATCCTTGTTCTAACACACAAGTTAATGGATTCTCAACGAAGATACATAGCTCATTCCTGACTATCCTTTTAGCCTCTTCACAGGCTAAGCTTAGAAGATAGCTTTCATACATTGTCTCCTAACTTGTTGAAAGGAGGGAGTCCTAGACAATTTCTTCAAAGGTCATAAAGACAAAATGCCCTAGAAGAGGAAGAACCCTTTGGAGGTCATCCTTTCCATCTTTCCTTTGGTATGGCATATAACCCATCCAAAACAGAGTCTCTTCCAACCTTTTCTTAGAGAACTTGATGCCCATGAAAATAGTTGCATTGTGTTTGGCTCCAAGGCAGAGGCAAGGAAGGATAGTAGTCACTCTCAACCATCTAGAACCACTAGTCTAGTTACAGAAAGAAGGCATCTTGCACGTGAAAACTCCACAAAAAAAAATTAAGCTGGTTTTCACTAGTGTCCTATTGCTGGGGCAGCCAGCCAGCATCCCAGGAGTTCACCAGAAGGAATGTGTCATAGACTAGGGGCATTCAAGAAAACACAATGGACCTCAGAGACCTTCTAATTCAGGCAATGAGTAAAGAAGCATTTTTAAGTGTTTTCTGTATGCTGAGCATTGTAGACGCAAAAGAAAGGCAATAATATGGCCTCTGCCCTCAAGGAGCTCGCATACTAATGGCAGAATTAAAATAGAAATAGCAAGGTAAAAAAGAAAAGATGTTTACAGAGTACGTGGAAGGTGATTTCAGAGAGGGAAACACTAGCAGTGGCAGGCCAAGAAAAGGCTTCCTGAATGTTGAAGGAAGTCAAGGAAGCTAAGAGAAGTGATGAGGAGAGAAAGCTTTCCAGACATAGAGAAGAGCCAATGCAAAGGCCCAGAGGTGGGAGATGACTTGTTGAGTGTATGGAACTGCAAGAAGGCCAGGGTTACTGGATTACTGGGTGGCTGAGTGTGGGAAGGGAAGTATAAGAAGACTGGGAAGGCAGAAAGAGGTCATGTTCTGAACCCCCCCTCTCCCATTTGACAGATAAGAGCTTAGGCAGTAAAGACGGTCCCACGGCTAGTAAGTGTAAGGGGGAGGACACAAATCGAGATCTTCCTGACTTCAACTTTAGCCACATTTGGCAAATTTTTGTAATTTTAAGGAACCACCAAAAGTCTGTGTGGGCATGTTAGGGGAATGAAGTTCTCCATTTTTTACTGGCAGCCAAAAATCTTCTCTTTTCTAGCCATAGATGGACAGAATTTCAGATTCAGTGCCCCCTCCCTTTCCCTTGGGGCATGCTCAGTTGATATTTCCAGAAAGCCCATGGAAGCTTGGCCTGTGCTTGCTTCTGGGTATGTGTGATGGAAGGTCCTGGGGAGAGAGGGGCAGTAGGATGCTATACAGAAGCATCTATTCTGCTTGTATCTGAACCAAAACCCCGAGGATCAGAGCCAACAAGTGGTCATGCAGTCTTTACTCAGAGACCTCCAATAAGGGGGAACTGCCCACCTCCTGAGGAAGCCCCTCCTGTTTTTGGACATCTCTAATTAGTGGGGAGTTTTCTGTCTTTGTTTTGTTTTCTGATTTCAAGCCTGGATTTACCCTTTCACAACTAACCCCTCTTCCTCCACCCATCCATTGTCCTTGATTCTGTCTTCTGGGGCCGAACAGAAAAAGTCTAATTCTTTCACATGACCACCTTTTAAATATTGGAACATGACCATCATGCCACCTCCCACCTTAAGTCTTTTCTCTAGGTGGGAAATTCTGCTTTCTTCAGCTGATTCTTACTTGGCATGAATTTCAGGTTTCACTACTGTGGTTGAGTCACAGTGTTTGTGGAGTAGCTTGGGGTGGGGTAGGGTGAGGCTGAGGCTGAAGCTGAGACTTTGGTCCCCTCACCTTGGCTTTCCATGACTTTTAACCAGGGGTTCTCCTGTTGTACCAACAGCCATATCAAAACCCGAGGTGGATGCCCAGCTCCTGACCAGGGAAGAAGGGGAAGTACTGGCCCTGAGCTGCCGGGTGACAGGAAAACCAACCCCCAAGATCACCTGGGGCCTGCCAGATGGCTTGGTGGTGACACCACAGCTCTCGTATGTTTGGTACCCTAACAAGACTGTGACTGTCATCAGCAACTTCACCTACATCCCTGCCCAGTTCCCCCAGAAATGGCCAATTATATGTATGATTCAGCACCCAGTCCTCAACACAGAGATTGAACTGAAGTATCCATTCCATGAACCTACTGGTAGGTGGGGGCACTTGGTGGAGGGAAGGAGGACATGGAAACACCTCCAGTGGAGGAAGGGGCAAAGGGAAAGATTGCATTATATAGGAAAGAAAAATGGATTTTGAGCTAGAAAGAATACTAGAAATTAATTTCCAATACCCTTATTTTAGAGATGAGGTAACTGAAGGAAAACAAACAAACAAAAAAAGGACTTGGCCAAAGGCATACAGATAGCAAATAACTGTGTTGGGATTTGAACCCAAGCTTTTGGATACCATACTCAGGGACTGTATCTTTCCATCACATTACGTTGCCATCCCAGACCATGCACTGATCTCCATAACCCATCAACAAGTAGTTATTACACACCTTCCCTGTCCCAGATACTAAGATAGGTTCTAGGAACAAAAATAAAATCATTCCCTGTCTTCAAAGAGCTTACATTTTATCACAGGAAAAAACATTAACAATCTACTGTCACTGTGCTTGATACAAATGAATCAGTCTCTACCTTCAAGGAGTAAATATGTACATGTGAAGAAAGCCATTTGAAAACAAGTAATAATTTATTATCTCTCTTTCTACTAAATATGCCCTATTAGTAGTAGGCATCTCCTACTAAGAGCCCTTCTCTAGCCTAATTTGTATTGAAAACCTCTTTCTGCTTCACTCTTTAAACACAAGGTCTTGTGTTCTATTGGTTTGACCTGGGGAATTAATGGACGGCAAGCTCAGTGGGAGACAACAGTGTAAGGTGTTGCCAACCCTAGGCACCCCATCCCAAACTAACATGTTCTTGGTTTGCATTAAAGGAATGGAGACTTCCAAGGCTAAGGATGGGGGTGGGGGCGTAGTGATAGTCCCATGGCACTCTGCTCTGGTTAGACCACATCAGAAGCACTATGATTGATCACTTCTGTGGGCCAAGTTTATGAAGGGCATTGATAAGTAGAAGTATTCCAACCCCCTAATTTTACTGATGAGGAAACTGAGGCCCGGGGAGCTGAGGCAACTTATCCGTGGCTACCCATGTAGTGTATGGAAGAGAAAGAGCCTTTGGTTCTTTTCTACTGTTCCACACTCACTCTCTTAGGTCTTGGGTCCATGCTTTATGATGATTTGGGGAGGGAATGGAGGATGTTTAGCCTGAAGAACAGAAAACTAGAGGAATGGTGGGGGCAGTGGGAAGGGAGAGCGTGATACATTTATTCAAATTCTTTAAGAGCTCTCAGGCAAAGAGAAGGGAGATTAGATTGTGTTTTGCCTAGTCTCAGAGAGGCCAGGGATAATGCATAGAAAAGAGAAATGAATGCTTGATGGCAAGTGGAAAATCCAACAATTAGAGTTAAACCAGAACTGGAATAGACTATACTGAGACATTGAATCAAGGTCTTCATTGCAAATTCTGGATTACCAAGAGTATGGGACTTGTAGAAGGATATTTTTTTTTTTTGGTATGGGTTAGACAACAGTAACTCAGTGGATGCTGAGGTCCCTTCCAACTCTGAATTTTTCTTGCTTTTTTGACCTTCCAATTAGCCTCAGTGCCAACCCTACCACATGTTATGACTTCCCTTTATTCAACCACTGCTATCTCTTCTTGTTCTAGTTTCATAATGATCTGAAACAAACACCTCATTTGACTTATTTTTTTCTTTTTAATCCTGTGATATCTACAGGACTCCCCCAGGCCCTGCTTACCAACAGAAAGATAGAATGATTTTATTGAAAAAGAACTGAAGTAGGATACCTCAGCAAAATTTCTTTAAACCAGTTTTATCCTCTGCTGTCTCCTTCCATTTTATAAGGCAGTAATAGGCAGAGAGTTCTCTCATCATAATCCTCTGAAGTCATCTAGGTAGGAATCATTGTCACCATTTTATAGTTAAGAAAACTGAATCTCAAAGAGGTAAAGATCACACAAATACACAAGGTGACATAGTGGATAAGGAAACTGAGTCTCAGAGAGATGAAGTACATATGAGTACAATAGGTTACATAGTAGATAGGGAAACAGTCTCAGAGAGGTAAAGTACACATGAGTGTACAAGGGTACACAGTGGGTAGACCACTAAGAGTCAGAAGCCATTCAGAGGCCATTGAGTCCAACTTCCTAATTTTACAGGTGGGGAAACTGAGGCTCAGGATGGTACATAGGATCATAGATCCAGAGCTGAAAGATACCTCAGAAGTCATCTACTTCAACCCTATCATTTTATAGATGAAGAATTGAGGTCCGGGGAAGTTATGACTTGCTCAAATTTACACAGACAGAGATGAGATTAAAATCCCAGGTCTTTCCCCTCCATTTCACACCACACCATTTTGTCACAAAAGCCATAACACACAGTCTAGGGAAATGGAAAAGGCCTGGATGGGAAGTCAGAAACCTAGATTTTTAATCATGACTTTGCAGCTTACTAACTCTATGACTGAGCAAGGCTGCTTTTCCTCTCTGGGTCCTAGTTTCCATTGGAGATTTAAGGGGAGAGGGCAAGACAGTGGGACTAAGTCATTTTTTCTAGCTTTTAGTCCTATAATCTTCCCTCTCCTTTTATATTAACTATATTAAATATTCTAAATATTTCTATTAATTATGTAGATAACCAAGTAGAGTCTGACTCTTACACTGTAGTACAATGGAACATTTAATTAATTTGGGCTTAGAGCACCTGAATTCAAATCTCACCTCTACAATTTGCTACCTGTGTGACCTTGGACAAGACACTTAGCAACTCTTTAGGCCTCAGTTTACCCATCTGTTAAATAAGGAGGCTGGATTAGATGGCTAGAGGTGTGGTCTCTTACAGATCCTGATCCATGATCTTTTCCATCTGCCTGAGCACAGGCTCCTCATCTGTAAAATGAAGAGATTAGACTACATGATTTTTGATCCCATATCTCTCTCTGGACTCAGTTTCCTCACCTGTAAAATGAGAAGGTCAGACCAGGTGGCCTCTTGGGTCCCTTTGAGCTCTGGGTCCATGGCTCTAGAGGTAACATTTCTTTCTATGATCCTGTGCCATGTAGCCAGTCATTCAGTAAGCATTATTAAGCTCCCATTATGTGTCAGACACTATGCAAAGTGCCTTCACCCATGTAGCCTCACTTCCTGATGATTTCATCTTCCAGATGATCATAAGATCCTCTTCATCTGCTTCTCTTCTGTGATTACCACTGCCTCTTTCCTGGGACTTTATTATTGCTGTTTACGGAAACAAAAAATGGGCACCTGCCAAGTAGGCGAAACTCTGATCTTGGTAAATATGAGAATTCCTCACACAACAGACTGATTTGTGCACATGGTAGCCAGTATATCTGTTTGGGGAGGGAAATAATGTAAAATACCATGTGAAGGGCTAGAAGCTTCAGGGAATGAAACTGCTCTATCTTTGGAGTTGGGAAGGCTTAGATTCTGCTCCTGCCTCAGACATCAAATAGCCACATGACCCTGGACAACTTACTCCTCCTCTCTGAAATTACTAATCTGTAAAACGGGGATAATAATAGTGATTCCTTCCCTTTCTGTTTTCTCATATTTTCAATATATGCAATTGATCAAAGAGCAAGACATATTTTCAAGTAAACAAAACTTTGTTGTTAAAGTAAAATGAGGTAATGTAGCCAAATCCTTTGTGCAGTTACCATACTATGCACATTTCAAGTTTTATTGTAAGCCATGACACATGTCCTCACTGGGGGGGGGGAAGGTAAGGCCATACAGATATGTAGCTGCTGTTGTATGGTAAGTATGCTAGACAGTTTCAAAGGTAATTCACTTACTAAGGTCCCTGGCACTCAAGCACAAGGAACAGCTAAAAGAGTTGCAAATGAAGCATTGATGATGACGATGATGACGACGATGATGATAAAAGTGACATTTTGTGCACTTTAAAGTTTAACAAAGTGCTTTATACACATTATCTCATTTGATCCACATAGGTGCTATTGTTATCCTCATTTTACAGAATTGGAAATTGAGGCACACAGAATTTAAATGACTTGTCCAAGGTTGACAGCTAGTAAATGTACGAGACAGGATTTGAACCCAGGATTTTTAAACTTCAGTTCTAGTGATCTGTCTATCCATTACTCCATACTAGTTCCTTAGTCTATCTCAAATGTCATTTTCAGCTGTAGACATAATCCTGAGACCTCCAGATTAGAAAAGTCACATCTGGGAGAGGTGATGTGGTACAGTAGAAAAAGCATCTCTTGTTTGGAATCAGAGGGCCTGGGCAGCCTTCCACCTCTGATGCTTACTATCTATGTGACTTTTGGCAGATCAGCTCTCTTTTCCAGGCCTTCTTTTCCATCCCTGTGAAATGATGAGGTTGTACCAGATGACCTCTGAGCTCCCTTCAAACACTACATCCATGAGTTTATTGTATCTTTGACATATTATACTATACTATACTATGTTATGCCACATCATATTCTATAAAATATATTATACATCATTATATCTATTAATTTATTTTAGAAAGATTCTAGGAAGTCAAGAGATATGGAGTGATTGCTTAAGTCACAGAGAGAGGAAATAGTAGAGCTGATATTTGAACCCATATCTTCTGATTTCAAATGTTTCTCATATTCCCTGATAATAAGCTTTGAATCTAGTATTGGGAGGGGTGGAGGGTACAGGGTTCTGCTTAGAGATCATTTCCAACTCTCTCATTTTACAAAAAGGAAATTCAATGGCTTATTCAGGGTCCTTTATGGAACAGTCCTCTATGGATGGCATAGGTTATCTCTGGTGCCTTTCTGCTAGCACCATGAGGGAGAAGCTTTGCTTTCCTATCTGTTCACAAGGCCAACTCCAAATAAATACATTACTATTCTGAGCCTATGAGAGCTAAAGAGACTTATTTATAGAGTTAAATTCATTTTCATGAATTTTAGTAAAAACAAAACAAAAGAAAACAACAGACAGAAAGTGCTTGGAAAATTCACCAATGTCTTCTCCTAACAGGTCATCACTTGGTTGACTCCAAAGGTCTGCTGTGGGTGGTTCTCAAGCAAAGTTTCTGCTAGTATCACTGAACAGCAAAGGACTGTGGATGTATAACCCTTTTGGTACTTATACTGGAAGTACTTTCAGCCCTGTGCTAAGCTGTGGGCTTGAAGCTGGCAAGGAAAATCCAGGGGCCCTGCCTGAGAGTGTACAACCAGCTGGCTCCTTCAGGCCAACTCCTACAGATGTTGCTGAGCTTTCTGTAATTCAGGGATCTCTTGATCTTGTATCTTGTATTGATCAACTGCATTACTATAGTGGGTATGTGATCTCATCAGTTTGGGAGTTCCCTCCAATGATCTGAAGTAAGACAGATTGTGACCCATCCACATCTGCCTGTTTGATGCTATTCTTGTTCATGGCCTCCCAAAAATTCACCACAAGGAGGCCATCTAACACTTGGGACCATCTTTGATTTCCCCCAACATACTGAGGTACTAGCCAAACATGCTGCACGTCTTTGGCATCCCTTGATCTAAAAAGGCGACCCTGCCACCTTTTCTTGCTGGCATGTACTCCCATGATGATATCCTCAGCCCTCATTCTTCTTCAGAGAGCCTTGCTGGTTACATTTTACTGCTCCTCACATCTACCTCTCATTCCCCCATTGTCCTTTATGTGGTACTCTTCAGTGTTTCGTGGGATGTGGTGTTCCCGTTGCACTGGCATTGAACATTTGTAATGTCTTTAGAATGAAAAACATGGTCCTTTTCTTTTATGAAAAGCTGTATAGGATGAAACCACTTTTTTGCTGGTACAAGAATGTGCCACATGTTTGAAAGAGCCACAATCTCTAGGTGTATTCCATGATTTGTACTTCATTGGTACTGCTTAATTGATGCAATCATGTCCAACTCTCTGCAACCCCATTTTTGGGTTTTCTTCGCAGATACTGGCATGTCTGCCATTTCTCTCTCTAATTCATTTTAAAGATGAGGAAACTGAGGCAAACAGGGTTAAGTGACTTGCCCAGGGTCACACAACTAGTAAGTGTCTGAGAACCAGATTTGAATTCATGAATCTTCCTGATTCCAAGCCCAGTGTTTAGACACTGTACCATCTAACTGCTCCTTACAACAAATTTGCTAGCCAGAACCAAAACGGGTGAGAATTCCTCTGATTACTACCCGTACAATTAATATAATATGAAAACTAATGGGTTGTGGCCAGTGGTTGTCTCCATGACCAAACCATCTCTTTTTTTCTGCTTATGCAATGTCTTCAACACTACCTTGTAAATATAAATATTTCAGTAATTCAGGGATCTCTGAAGTAGGTTTAGGTAAGGCCTTCACCAATATGGATTCTGAGCCCCCTATGGCAGTCTTTTCAAGTTTCCGTGTCCAGGGTAGGTAAAGTCAATATAATGTTTAAAATGACAACTTTACCTAACTAATCTATTTATTCAATGTCATCCCAAGTAAATTACTAAAATTATTTTACTGAGATAGAAAAAATAATGACAAAGTTCATTTGGAAGAGCAAAAGGTCAGGAAACCAGGGGAAAAAAGATGTAAAGGAAGTAGATTCAGCAGTATCAGACCTTAAACTACATTATAAGGAAGAGCATTGGTAAAGTGTAAAAAGGAGAATTTCAATTATTTTAAAGTGAAATTTTCTTGTATAAATAAAACCTATGAAGAAAAAAAGCTTTCACAGACAGTCTCTCACATAAGATGTGATGGGGTCAGAATATTGCTGGAGCGTTGGAAATGATGAGCTGCTTCATTTAGAAAAACATGGAGAGACTTGGAACTATGAGGGAAGATGATATCTACCTTCAGAAAAACAGATTCCAAATGGACATAAGCACAGCATGGTCTTATACATATGTGTGTGTGTGTGTGTGTGTGTGAGCATGTATGTGTATGTTTATAGATATCTACGTATATGCATATGCATATACACACACACGTTTGTGTGTGTGTGTGTGTGTGTGTGTGTGTGTGTGTGTGTGTGTGTGTATCTCCATGCTTGATTGTAGCCTTCTTTAGGGAGGGGAAAATAAAGCAAAAAGTGCACAGCAGAGAATAAAAGAAAATCTACCAAAAAAGCAAAGAAAAGCTGGACAGCTTTAAAAATTAGGTCTAATACTTATTATATAGGTTTTATGAAATGGAAATTTATAGTTTTATAATGATTCCTATGTCATGGTTTGCTGTGTGCGTGGCAATGTTTTTTTTTTCCTTTTCTCATTTTTATTTAAGTTTACAATAAAAAAAAAAACTAAAAGAAAAAAAGTTTCTGTGTCCAGCTAACCTACCATGCTGTGGCCACTGTGGGGATCAACTTCTCTGACCGTGACTAGGCTGATTTGGAGAGGGAAGACCCTCAGTCTCTTTGCCTGGCCCTCGACTTGAATATTTACTGGCATGTTAGGACCATTCAGGACATCAGCTGTGCTAACTATCCTTGGAGCAAAAGAAGTTATCTCTAGGTTCCAGTGAACATTCAAAGAAACACTTTGCTGAAGGGGGCAGTAATACCACCATGCATGGTCAAATGTTTCTACTACTTAAAATGTCTTATTGCTATCTTAAACAAAAACAAAAACAACCATTATCGTTCTTTCCAAATATGTCCCTCCCTCTTTCCCCACCCAAGGAATGACTTTTTTTAAGAAACATAAAAATAAGAGAAGTACAGTAAAAATAATCAACACATCTACGAAGTCTGTCTTTATGTGAACTGGAGAACTAGAATTCTTATTATGACAGCTCAGAGGTCTCCGGGTGACATTGTAATGGTGGAGGCTGAAATGGCGTTGTAGGGAAGAGCAAGGGAGATTCCCTAAGGTCATTTTGGTTTGCTTTTAACATGCTGTCTTAGATGTGAGCAAATCATGGATAGGAGTTAATATGATACTAAAGAGGAATGAAATTTCAAGCTGGATGGTATATTAAAGATTAAATAGTCTATTCCCCTCCAATTTTATAGCTGGGGAGATTAAGTCCCAGGAGGGTTAAACCTTAATTCCAAGTAGGAATATTTATACCCAAAGGAAGAGCAGTAAACTATATCCAAGACCACTGCTAGGATTCCTGTCCCCAACTGCCACTTCAGGACTATGTATGCATATATGAACACATATATCATATGTAGTATGTATATATACACATATGCATATGTGTATGCATGTGCAGTACATGTAGGTGTGTAAATATGCACATGTGCGTATGTGCATATATATGTCTATGTTTTTATATCACCTGTATTTTCTAGTGTGTCCTATCTATTCCTCAGGGAGAATCATTCTATCTAAAAAAGGGAAGGGATAGTTAAATAAAATGAACAAAGCACCCAAACTCCAACATTATACCAAGCATTCCATATTCCTAGATGCCTGCTGCTGTGAACAGGGAGAACGTGGGGGTAGAGGTGGTGATGGATACCTTCTCATGCCTCTTCTTTGGGGCCAAATCTGATCATTATAATCTCCCAGTATTCAGTTTGGTGTATATCGTATCATTATTTTGAGTCAGAGACAATGTAGGGCAGTGGATAACCAAACTTGAAGCCAGGAAGACCGTGCTTAGATTTTGTCTCTGTCACATATCATGAGACTCTGGGCAAGCTGCTTGATAGTTTGTACTTCCTTCTCACTAATTTGGAGTCAAGATACAATATGTCTGTCTGTGGCTGATCAGACCAATACAAGCTCAGAATGCTCTACTATAGGTCGGGCACAAATAGTCCACATGAACATTTAGACATGTCTCTAAATTTGGGCAACTCCTGTTTCTTTTGAGCTACTGCAATTCTGCTTTGCTCAGAGCATAGTGCATTCTTTGTGAGTTCTCCAGAAAATAGTCTGTTAGGCAAATGCACAGTGTGACCAGCCCATTGGAGCTGTGCTCTCTGCAGTAGGGTCTGAATGGTTGGCATTCAGCCTGAGAAAGGACCTCAGTGTCAGATCTTATCCTGCCAGGTGATCTTCAGAATCTTCCCAAGACAATTCAAATGGAAGCAATTCCATTTCCTGGCATGACACTAGCAAAAACTCTTTAAGCCTACAATTTGCATAGAAGGTGCTAACCTGCATAGGTAGAGAGAATTTTCCCACCTGAGAGTTCTCCATATCAGTGAAATCGGGGGTGGGGGGTGGGGGGGAGGGAGATGTAGAATAATCACCCTTAAAAAAGTTCAGAATTTTTTTTCCTGCATTGGCCCATTGGCTGTGTGGTGAAGCCCTTGAACTCTTTTAGAATACTGTTGTTAAAAGTGAAAAATAGAATACATAGGATCACAAAGAAAAACAATTATATTGGAAGACAATCATTAACATATTCAGATGTTTAAGTTAATGGATGCTGCGATAAGAAGTGATTTAGACCAAATCGACAGGTGTTTGTTTGAGGAGACAAAAAGAGGGCTTAAGGGCAACCCGTCCAAAATCATGACAGTTTTCAGACTGGGATAGAAATGTGAAGATAGACTTGTCCAACATCTTGATTTTACAGGGTGATCTGTAACTTGTCCATGGTCACTGAAGAAGACCTATTGCGTTCAACTCCTGAAATTTAGTCTGAGTTTAGTTTGCTACAAACGAGTCTCAAGGACACCTTGCTTGGCCACTTTGTGTAAACTCCTCATTTTGATGAAGAGGAAACAGACACTTGGCTTTCGGGTCAGAGCAGGGATTAGAAGCAATGTCTGCTGATGCACCACTTTGGCATTCTTTCTGCCAAAATTTGGAAATTTGGCCTCGTTGAAAACAGGAGCAGAAGAAGACTGGTCCCTAGTTTTGTGACTCAGGACAATCATCTCAAGATGTGTGTTTGTTGGGAATAAGGGGTATGTTAAACTTTCCGGGGCTTATCACAGAGCCTGGCAAATAGCGGGCAATTCATCGAATCCTCGTCCTTCTGGATGCAGTCTATCACCCTCCTCCCCACTACCACTACCTCTTCTAGGTCAAAGAAATTTAAGAGGCCTTCTAGCCATCCAGTTTGAGGTATCAGAAAGGCATCCCTGCAAGTCCATCCCTGAGTGAAGGAGCTCCTCGACCCTCAGAAGCACAGGTCCCTCCTTGTTCTAGTCTTCTTTCTGGTGTTTTGTGAGACCAGTCGTTCTCAAGTCTAGTCTACCCTTCCCAGCACCAGTGTAGGCTTTCTAATGCATAGCTCTGATCAATCCATTCTCCTTCTCAAGAACCTTACTGACTCCCTATCAACTGCAAAAACTCAGAGATGGAAAGTACCTCAGAGGCACTCAAGCCGAAATATGAATCTCCTGAGTCTCAGATCTGCTTATCCAGCCCTAGCTTTTTTGCTGACCTCTAGTCTCATGTATCCAACCACTTGTCTAACAACTCATACTGGATGGCCAATAGTCGTCTAAAATTCAACATTTCCAACACTGAACTCAGCTTTTTGTTTTTCTTTCCCAACTTCCCTGTTCTTGTAGAAAACCCCACCATCCTGCCAGTCACTCAGGCTCACCAGTATCAAGGAACCATCTTTGGTACTGCACTTTCTCTAACAGTCTCTATCTAATCTGTTGACAAGGCCTGTCAATCTGACCTTTGTGATGTCTTTTAAATATGCTCCCTTCTCTTTATGATACTGCCACCCCTCTGGTGCAGGCCCTCATCATCTCACACTTGGACTACTGCAATAGCTGCTGGTAGATCTGCCTGCCTCTGGTCTCTCCCCACTCCAATTCATTCTCCACTTAACTGTCAAAGTGATTTTTCTAAAGCCCAATTCTGATT